ATACTTGTCCCCTTTAGGTAACGGATGTTCCTTCCATATCGTTTCTTGTTGAAGGTCGCGGAAGCCCGGGCTGACCTCATTCGTAGCTTCCACTAGACACAAACGTTATGTTCAAGTTCACAAAGGACCATGCAGGAACATTCTTATTGTTATGTTTACCGGCTTTCAGTTGTGACCCGCAAGCTGCTTTTTTATGCTCTCGGGGGAGGGGGGAATAACCAGGCGGCAGCGGTGCTTGTTTCGCCCCGCCTCCCCCCCCCCCCCCCCCCCCTTTTCGGCGGCTCTTAGAAGTTTCGTGGTTACCTTTGCGGCTCTTAGGCCGGGTCAGCCTGGCCACCCCTGTACTAGAGCATAGATGAAAGCATGGCGATACATAAGTGCTTTGTGGTGTTTTAAAATCACTTTCCCCTGTAGGTGCTTGGCTGTTTTCTGGTTTAGTTATGACTAGTCACAGAGAAGTAACTTGACCATCATAGCTGTACCGAATTCAGTTTAATCTAAAGCTAAAGAGCGGTTAATTTTTAAAGGTTTCACAAACTTTCTTTAACAGATACCCCCAGAGGACGTCGATGGGCAGCACTGCGGCCGCCGTAGCTGGCCCTTCGTCAAGCAGCACTGCTGATCTAAAAGCAACCCCAACAAGCAGCACAGCTGGTCGCAGAAAACTGATTTTGCAGATTTGACTAGACATCAGGTCCTTAAGAGTGCTTCGAAATTTATTTCCAAGGGAGCACTTGATATTTTCAAGATTCAGCTGCATTTGAAGCCTACGAACATGTTCGGACGAAAATGGCCTGATGAGTTCAAGCCTTTTGCGCTAAACCTCTACTTCCAGAGCCGCGGGGCTTACAAGTACCTTGCCAAGTACCTGAGCTTGCCATCAGTTAGGTCGCTGAAGAACTGGCTGTCTCGCATCGCTCAGCACCCTGGAGTTGTTCCCAGTCTCATCACAACTGGTGTAAACAAATTACACGATTGGCCCCTTAAAGATCGAACATGCATTCTGATGTTCGACGAAATGTCCCTGAAAGAAAATGCCTTCTATGACTATAAATCCGATATCGTGCATGGCTTTACAGACAAGGGTAAGGAGCAAAATGCTGATGTGGCTGATTCAGGTTCGGTTGTTCTGCTGGCAGGTATCTCTCAATCCTGGGTTCAACCACATGCTTTCACCTATTAAAAACAAAAGCTTCTGCTGGATGTCTTCCTGACTTGTTGACACACATCATTCAAAGTCCGATTTCTCAAGAAATCTTTGTGAAGTCTGTTGTGTGTGACCAGGGGAGCCGGTAATTGCGCTCTTGCACGAATGTTGGGTGTCACACCAGACCATCCGTTCTTCTTTGTTGGTGACAACCAGGTCTACTTCCTCTTTGACACCCCTCACCGCCTCAAGTGTTCACGAAACAACCTGCGCAATCATGACCTCAGCATTGGCAACACATTGATATCATGGAAATATATTGTTGACTCCTACAAACACAAGCATCCTGTGCGGTTGTGATTGGCAAAAAAACTTACCGACAGGCACATCTATCAGACCCAATTTGGGAACATAAAGGTGAAATTTGCTGCGCAGGTTTTAGTGACACCCTTCTGGCGCACTTGCGAGTTTCATTTCCTTCAATCAGCTGCCCCCCGAGGCTCAGGCCACATGCGACTTCCTTGAAGAAATGGATCACATTTTTGATTCGCTAAACAGCCAAAGTCTTCAATGTGACAAAGGAAAAATGAGATTTGATTTTACTTCTACATCGGAACATGTAGATTTCTTGCGCTCAAAAAAGCTCGAGGATCTCTCAGTGGCAGTTTCGTTCTCCCAAACAACCTCAGACAATAAAAGGGTGGCAAATCCCCATCAATGCCATCCTCTGACTGTGGGAAAGATCTGAGGCAGAACTTTAACTTTGAGCACCTTCAAACTAGACGACTCAACCAAAACCCGCTAGAGAACATGTTCCGCATGGTACCGCAGCGGCACGGCTGCAGCGAGACGCCCAATTCCGACCAGTTTGTGCCAGGTCTAAAACACATTTCCTTGGAAAGATGTTTCAACTTTCTAGTGAAGGAAACTTTGAGGTAGACAATGCCACATTGCTAATGGAATTGAGGCACCTCCCAGTGTCGGCTGCAGCCAGCCACCAGCCTGAGCCATTGGAATCAATTGATGCTGACGACCTTACATTACCCGATGATCTAAATCAAAACATTGTCCAGGAAAACATACTGTATCACTTCTCTGGGGGCCTGGTTGAGTCATTTCTTAAGAAGGTATCTTACCATGTTAGCCCGGACTTGTTGAAAGCTGCAAGTGGTGAACTAACGTCGGAAGTTCAATTCCATGCCCTGCTTCAGGCGAACGCACCTGGCTCAATTTTCGGCTCTGTCGTGGTCGAGATAAGGCTGATTGAACTGCGTAGGTTTATTTTAGCATAGCAATACAGGTACGTGTGAGTCGTGCCGTGTCTGGTCGCGATCTGGTGGAGAGAGGGTCTGCACGCGGAAGCGGCGGGCAGAGTCCAGGGTCACCCGGCGGCTGTGGCGATGATGATGACGGCGGTGGCGATGATGATGATATCCCGACACCTCCCCCACTTTGGAAGAACAACACTCACACTTCCCCAAAGCGGTCAGGTGGACGACTTATACGTCCACTCCTTGTCACGGTAGGTGCTACGGCCGGTTGCAGGTGTCCTCTTGTTCGCCGTGTAGTGCCGGTCGTCGTCTGCACCACGTAGGAACGGGGTTGAGGCGCTGGCCCAAGAATGTGGCCGTAAGATGCTGCTCCCGTCAGAATTCTGACCGCAGTTCCAGGTGGAAGGGTGTCGAGCTCACGTGTTCTGCGGCGCTCGTCATAGTGCTGGCGCATCTTTTCCTTGTATAACGCGTTTCTGGAGCGAAAGTCAGTGGTGTCCCAGCGAGGTTGGAGAGACTCTGGTTTCACTGGCACGTTTGTACGCACTCTTCGTCCCATGAATAACTCCGCTGGCGCGTAACCTTCAATTCCTGGGGTCGCACGCTGGGCCAACAGTGCCTTGTGGATGTCTGTCGATTTCCCAAGGAGTTGCTTAGCCGTTTGGACTGTCCTCTCGGCCTCCCCGTTGCTCTGCGGGTAGTATGGGCTCGACGTTGATTGGGTCACGCCCCATTCCTTCAGAAACACTGCGAATTCGCGTGAGGCGAATTGCGGTCCGTTGTCTGTTCGGAGAATTCTCGGTGCTCCATATCGTGCAAACATTGGGTCGAGGACGGCGATGATGTCCCTGGTCGTTGTTCGCCTCAGAGGTTCCAGCTCGAAGAATCTTGAAAAGTAATCGACAGCAATCAAGTAGTTTCTGCCTTCGTGGACGAAAAGGTCCATTCCGACGACTTCCCATGGGTAGTTTGGCAGTGGAGTCGCCAGAAACGGAGGTTGACCTGGTTTCCGGTGTTCTTGACAAACAGGACACTTTTGGACGAAGCTGTCGATGTGGAGCCCAATGCCTGGCCACCAGACTGATTCTCGTGCTCTGGCGCGGCATTTGGACACACCCTGGTGACCTGTGTGAAGCTTCTCCAGGATTTCGAAGCGTAGGGCTTCCGGTATGACGAGCCGATTGCCCTTGAACAACAGTCCGTCTAGTATGGCTAGTTCGCCGGCGACTTCGCAGAATTGGCGGACTCCTTGAGGAAGCGTCATTTTATCCGGCCATGTACGGAGGGTGTACTCGATTACCCTCTGCGTTACCGGGTCTGTCTGTAGCTCGTTCTTGATGCGATCAAGCATTTCTTGGGAGGCTGGAAGCTGTTCCAGCGTGAGGAGCTCGTACTCTCTGGTGTTGAGTTCCCTTGTACGAGAGGCTGTGTCGGGTAACGGCTTGCGTGAGAGCACGTCGGCTGTGTACATCGCTTTTCCCGGAACGTGACCTATGGTGTAGTCGTACTGGAACAGGCGCATTCGGAATCGCTGCAGTCGTGGGCTCAGCTCGTCGAGTCGCTTTGTTGTCATGAGGGGAATCAACGGTTTGTGGTCTGTCTCGATGTGAAACTGCAGTCCTAAGATGTACATGCGGAAGTGATCACATGCCCATGTAATCGCGAGCGCTTCTTTTTCGATTTGAGCGTAGCGTTGCTCCGTCTCAGTGAGAGAGCGCGATGCATAGGCAATGGGCTGCCGCTTGCCGTCGGTCTCCTGCAGCAAGACCGCGCCAATTCCGTAAGATGATGCGTCCGCTGAGACGATGAGAGGCTCCTTCGGATTGTAGTGCGTCAGAACTGGCGCTTTGGCTAGAGCTTCTTTTACTGCTTCAAAGCTTCGCTGCTGATCGGGTCCCCAGAGCCACGCAGCGTCTGCGCAGAGGAGATCCCGCATTGGCTTCGTTGTGTGTGCCAGGTGTGGCAAAAACTTGGCAAGGTGGTTTGCCATCCCCAAGAACGATCTCAGTTCTTTCACATCTGATGGTGGTGCGATCTTTGTGATCGCCTCGACTTTTTCAGGATCAGGCTTCACACCTTCGCCGGAAACGATGTGGCCTAGGAACTTGACCGTCTGCTGTAGGAAGGCGCACTTGTCGATGTTGAGTGTTATGCCGGCTTTGCTGAGTCGTTCGAAGACTTTAACTAGGTTCGCGTCGTGCTCAGCCCGTGTTTTCCCCCAGACGATTATATCGTCTTGCAGGCAAGCTTGGCCTTCCACTCCCTCCAGGACTCTTAGCATTTCGCGCTGAAAAAACTCTGGTGCGGTCGAGATTCCGAAGGGAAGGCGAAGAAACTTGAAACGTCCGAACGGCGTCAGAAATGTTGTGTATTTCTGCGATTCCTCTGCCAGAGGTGCTTGCCAGTATCCAGCTCGAGCGTCGAGTTTGCTGAAGACTGTGCCGCCGGAGAGCTTCGCCAGACATTCGTCTACGGTGGGCATGATTACTCGCTCTCGGACGAGGTATTTGTTGAGCTCGGTGTAGTCAACGCAAATGCGCAGTTCGCCATTTGCTTTTTCTGCGACGACCATCGGAGCGCACCACTCTGTGGCCTCGGTGACACGCTCTATAACTTGGAGCTTTAGCATCTTGGAAAGCTCATTCTTTACAGGTGGTAGCATCGCCAGTGGCACCCTTCTTGGGAACGTAAGAGCAAAGGGCTTCGCGTCTGGTCGAAGAACCACCTTGTACTCGGCGTTCATCTGTCCAAGCCCTGAAGTCAGCTGAGGGTACTTGGCAAGTAGTTTGGAGACGTCCTTTGTGCGGCTTGTCGCACCAGTGACGTTGAGGAGCTGTGGGAGAACTCCGAGAGATCGGATGGCGGGCCTTCCGAGGAGAGCTTCCTGTAGACCTTCAACTACGAAAACATCCTCTTGAACTTGTTGACCGCCCCATTCCATAGAAGCTTGGAAGTGTCCAGCGGTCGAAAGCTTCTGATGACCAGGACCGAGAAGTGCTCTTTCTGGCTTTCGCAGAGGGCCCATCACTTCGCGATTGTAGTCGCGCGGCGCGATGGCAGTGACGTCGGCGCCCGTATCGACCTTGAATGTGATCGAGATGCCGTTCACTGACGGGGTGATTCTCCAAGCGTCATGAGGTGAAGTATCTTTAAGTTCGCCGAGGTACACCTCTTCCACTTCTGCTGTGCGGCGGGCTGGGCGAGCTGTTGTGGAAGTGCCTGGTCTCTCTTGATGTTTCGAAGACAGGCAAACGGAAGCGTAGTGGCCTTGTTTTCCACACGACCTGCATAATTGACCGGATGCCGGACAGGTCGTCTTGGTGTGAACCGAAGCACTACCACACCATCTGCATGGCTGCCGGACACCTTCGTTGCCTTTTTTTAGACGAGCCGTCGGCGTTGTTTTCTTGCTCCAGTTTTTCTTTTTGCGTGCGGAGCTCAGTTCGTCGACGGCGGCGCCGTGTTGACCTTGCGTACCTCGCATTTCTTTATGTTGTTGCTTCACCGCTTCGGAGTTTCGCGCGGCAGCCACCGCGGTCTCGAGGGTAAGCGCGGAGTCGAGTTGCAGCTTCTCGCTGAGAGCCGTATCGAGGAGGCCTACCACGAGTCGGTCCCGGATGAGCTCGTCTTTCAAGGCGCCATATTGGCATCTCTCTGCCAGCTTGAAGAGGTCGGTAACGAAACTTTCGACTGTCTCGTGATTTTCTTGCTTTCGGCGGTTGAACGTAGCGCGTTCGTATATGATGTTTCGCCGTGGAATAAAATGCTTTTCAAAGGCATTCTTCACGCAGTCGTAGTCGAGCTTTTGTTCGTCACTGAGCTTGAGAGAGGCTAAAACGTCCTCCGCTTCGCGTCCCATGGCGTACAGGAGAGTATTTACCTGAGCAGCGCTGTCTTGCTTGCTGAGTCCTGAGATGACTCGGTAGCGATCCCATCGCGTGATCCAGGGCTGCCAGTCGTCTGGACGGCGAAAGTCGAGCTTCTCTGGGAGAGCGACGACAAAGGGGTTGAAGGCTGGCGTTGGAGCCGTTGCTTCTGGTTGCTGCTCGGACTGGGCCATGGCATCAATTTGGATGAGTGGGGAATTGTAGCTGCTGAATTGCTACGCTAGCACCGCTGCCACCATGTCGTGGTCGAGATAAGGCTGATTGAACTGCGTAGGTTTATTTTAGCATAGCAATACAGGTACGTGTGAGTCGTGCCGTGTCTGGTCGCGATCTGGTGGAGAGAGGGTCTGCACGCGGAAGCGGCGGGCAGAGTCCAGGGTCACCCGGCGGCTGTGGCGATGATGATGACGGCGGTGGCGATGATGATGATATCCCGACAGGCTCTTTTTGTGCTCCATCTGATTCTTGTTTTTCTTTGCTTCAAGGTGCTTGAGCATATTTTCCTTGAGCAGGTTGAGCAGCAGCAGATTCACAAGCCCAAGGTAGCTGAGCGCATTGTGCATGCCCTGGTACCCCATTCCGAAGCTCACTTTTGTAGCTCAGCATGCACAGTGCAGTTCCTCCACCTCTTTGTGAATGTGCGCCTACGTTGGCACATTCGGCTCCTTAACAGGGATCTATTGAAAAAAGATTCCCGTAAAACATCTAAAAAAAGGAAACGACACACATTTTCAAACTAATTTGATTTAGTAGAAAGTTGGTTATGGCTCTTGTGCACCTGTGCGGATGTCGAAAGTTCTCTTTTTGGTATAACTTGGATGCCAAATCAAAACCCAAGGATCCTGGGTTCTAGCCCCACCCCTGCCCGTTTCAGCCTGGATGAGCATCGTACCGGCGCGCGGTCGTGTATCACTACTGCGTGAGCACGTCAAAGACCCCAGTCTAGCAGTCATACATACTGAACTGGCAAAATTGCTCATCTGCAGCGTGAACCAGTTTCGCCTCAAACTGGCAGACCGACCTTACGCTATATAAACATGAACGACTAACTTGACTCTCTGAATGTCAAATCTAGCATTCAGACTACGCTGCTCAAAATGCCCCGTCTAAATTGAAGACAGGTTGCCTCCATTCCTGGCAGACTAACCCCACACAAACCATAATGAACTTCACACAATTCACATTTGATATGCACCCTACAGACCTCATGTCTTTTCAGTGGTACTCAAAAACTTAGTATGTAGCGTAAACACATTATGTGTGCACTTACTCCTCCAGATTTAATTGTACATATTGGTTACATTGAATCTTGTGAATAGCTGCTGGGTTGATTTTATAAGCCTGCTTACCTGCGCAATAGGTCTTGGTATTATTTTTGTCCACATCCCTGCTTGCCAAAATCCTGCAGAACGGTTAACAACTGTAATGAGCGTCGTTTGTGCAACTGCATTTTTGTTTATAGGGCTGTCTGCACTTCTGTATGCTTGTTGGAATTTAAATATTAAAGCAGATTTGCTTTATTTGGGAGTTGATTTGTTGTTTGGGTATTAAGCATTTTTGTTTGTAGGAGTTGTTTACAGAGTCATTTAGATAATTCGAAGTATGATAAGTGCTGTCCTGTTAGTATGAACATTAAAGTAATTATTTCGTTTTACCTATTTGACAACGTTTACTGCCTTTTACAGATATTGGTTTCCTTTGTTGGGTGATGAAGCGGCAATGTAGCTTGTAAATAGGTCTTTCCAATACCGCAACCCATGTGAATGGTGTTCAATAAAAAATGCATTTCAATGAACCTGCTGTTTCTGTTTTATTGCACCGGTAATGTCACGCGAAGCGCATTTGTTGCGAAACGTAGCGCGCGCGGCTCGTCTGCTCGACCGGTGCCGTGCTGGCCGCTCGCAGCGGCCAGCACTAGGGATGTCGCGAACCACCCCAAGTCCGATTTCGAAAGGTTTCGATATTTGCGAGGCGAACTGAGGTTCGATTTCGAAAAATTTCGATATTTTCGTACCGACCGAGGTTCGAATTCGAAAAATTCGCACCTTTCGATCACATAGGAGTTTCGAATTCGAAAAGTTCGAAGCTTTCACGGTTTCTAAAATTTCGATTCGAATATTTCGAATTTTTTTTTTTTTACTTCAGGTTCGATAAATTCGAAGATTTAGAAATTCTTTGGAAATAAAATTCGAAAACTTCGAACGCTTCGAATTTTTATAGACATGAAGTTCGAACAATTCGATTTTTCGAATTTCTTTCTGCATAAAGTTCGAAAAGTTCGAAGGTTTCAATTCTTTTTAACGATAAATTCGAAAAAAAAAAAAAACTTTGAAGATTTTGATTTTTTCTAGTACAAGTTTTCAAAGTTCGAAGCACGGTTTTCAAGTTCCTCCACAGTTCGTTTCAAATAACGTTTTTACGACACACTGGTTTTCACAAAATCAAGTTTAGAAAAGTTAGGGTGTAATATCTAGATTCTGCGAAGCTGGTCACGCAATTAAATGAGGCGACGAGTGTCCCGGATGTGCTGGAATATTTGCCAGTGCAGAGTGACGTGTGACCGTGGATCAGTAATTGTGACCGCCAGCCCGGGTGGGGAAGGGGGGGGGGGGAGTGTTTGACCTGCATCACGCAGTAGTGATCGCACGAACACACTGTTTTACGAGACTCATCCAGTTCAAAACGGCCAGGGGCGGGCACGAGGTTGAGGCTCAAAAAAACCTTGAAGCGACCTGGCAAACTACCTCGCCACCCCTTGCACGCTGGAAGTAATCTGATCGAACGCCGCCCGGATGACGCTGGCATATAGTAAGTTAAGTTTGTAATTGTCCTGGAGGTTTATTTTCTGCAACGGAGGAATCGCCCCCCAAAAAGCCGACACAACTCGAGGTCGAGGAGCGTTCTACCATACAGGTGGCGTCGGAAAAGGAAAAACGGGGGGTAAGAGGGTAGCGGGGGGGGGGGGGGGGGGGGGGGCTTCAGTTTCCTTTCCCCCTTCCAGATATTTCGGACTGTTAAAGAAAACAACTCGGGAAAAGAGGGCGTGGTCGAGCTTATTTTAATCTGATATTATTTATGCATATGTATAGCTACTGTCGCTCTTCACTGCATAAAAGATTGCGTAGATGGTCATTGTGAGAAACTCGTTGTCAGAAGGCACTACTCGTCACATGCTTAGTGGTTCGGAAGTTCAAAGCTATGTCTTTTCGACCTAAATACCTCTGCCAATAGTAAAAAAAAAAAAAAAAAAAAAAAAAGTATAAATGCGGGGATAAAAAGTTGGAGAAAAAGAAAACTATCAAGAATTTGCCGGAAGTGATGTATTCCTGCGTATTCAGAGGTTCAGAACTTCGAAACAAGTTTCTTTTACCAAAATGTGTACAGGCTAAAAGTAACACGTCCCAAAATCGTGAAGCGAAACAAAAAAGTTGTCTTTTAATGACGTTGCTGACCTTGAACACTATTAGAAATCTTCTCCCATGAGTTAATTCATTACTTAACGTGAAAAAACAATAAATACATTATTTTGTATTCTGCAGATGGCAATGATATGTACTGTCCGTGGTGTTAATTTAAATGCGATACCTCAAACAACTTAGACAAATACAAATATCAAGTTCAGGGCATAATTGCATGTAGATACATGTTTGGACATTTCTTCGAAACTCACGTTGAATAACAATAATCACATCTTAAGACGGCACTTACCTAGGCTATACATAGATCGTTCTTAAAAAAAGTATAACATCTCTACTACAAATAGCTTCGGCTACAGCGCGCTTCAAGTCTGGCACAAAGATAATCATCAAAAACCCGTCGTCCTTCCTCGCCCCTTCGGAAATTTATTTCTTTAAAACTAAGCATGCCAGAACATTGAAACAAACGCCATTGTCTTTCGTAAGGAACGCAGCACCGCATGTAAAAGTTCGAGAAAAAAAAAAAAACTACGAATGTACCTCACTACTTGAATTCAAACGAAACCGTCCGCTGGTCTTTCGAAGTTCCCTAAAAGTTCGAAGTTCGTCAAAATTCTGACTTTTCAGGATTCGAAAGTTCGAAACTTTTCGAATTCTCTTGATAAATAAGTTCGAAATTTGAAATTTATAAAATTTTTGGTCAGCCAAGTTCGGAAGTTCGACAAGCATCGCACTTTGAAGCGCAATAAGTTCGAAAGTTCGAAAAAGATCGAATTTCTTAGCATAATAAGTTCGACGTTTCGAAAAGCGTCGAACCGCTTAGCTCAACAAGTTCGAAAATTCGACTTCCGTCGAATTTTACGATGTAGACAATTCGAAAAATCGAAATCTTTCAAACCACTTGACTCGATCATCGAAACTTCGATCGAAAAAAGTTCGCGGCATCCCTAGCCAGCACGGCACCGGTCGAGCAAACGAGCCGCGCGCGGACGGCAGCGAAGCAAGCAAACAAAAATGACAAAAAAAGAGAGAAAAAAAGGAAGGAGGAGGAGGCGAGGAGGTTGCACGCCAACGATCGTAGTGGCGCCATCTGGCAGTCTTTTGAGACAGATTTTCGTCTCCGACCATACGTATGTTCGCCTTTCTGCCACTAGCGCCTTGTGGCGCTAGTTTCTTCTTACTACGGTGGAGGCTACATCTGCACTCGGCTGCCTGTGTCACCAAGACTAGGATTAAAATTACCGATCACTTAGGGGCTGAAGGGACACCGTT